CTGCTGCTTCCTTCCAAACTACTGCCTGGCTCTTTATGGAGGCAGGATGCCCTCTACCATGCCCATTATGAAGTACTAATTAGTCACAGATGAACTGGACCCATCCCCTTTAAAAGGGGATAGTCACCCTATGACAGCAGGTCAAATAGTTGTAGATGCAACTCATTTGTCCTTCCTGATATTCATTCTTGCTATCACTTTACTCTTTTCAGACATACATTATATGTTTTCTTGCCATTGTGTTACCGTTTCTTCACGGCACAGAATGAGCATGGCTGAAATATTCCATTACCAGAGGCAGAAATCAGATGATTTGGTTCATGCCAGGAAAGAACGATGAGATCACAGTGTTGCTGCTAAGTGTTTGGGGGTGGGTAAAATGCTGCTTTCTCTAATATGTATATTAAACAGGATGCTGCACATTACATCAGTAGCCAGTGACCACATTTCTGGCTCCACCTCAATCTATAGAACTCCCCACTTTGTCTCAGGTAATCATTTATACAGCTCAGCAGAATTTCTGTTTTCTTACCTTCAAATCTTACCAGAGGAATGTACAGCAGAGCCAGTAGTGTAGAAACATGTTATACCATCTTGGAAATTATCCCAGACTGGAGCAGCTGCTGAAAGAAGCTTTGCAAGGTGCTGCTGACATCACTTGCAACCAGATAGCCGCCCCAACTGTAAAGGTAGTGCAATCTTGCAATCTAGCACTTACATCTTTAGACATTTTAGTCTGCAAATTATTGTAGATTTGGATGGCATGCAGCTGTTTCCTGAGAACCTTTGTCTCTGGTCTTCATTTCCACCCACACATTTGCAAATACACAGTTTTCAACATGCTTCACAGCTGCAGGTTGGCTCCTTGTGCAGGGAAAAAGAGAAGATGGGAAAACACGGAGGGGACAATGCTGAGTAAGTTTCCTGTCCTCCATGGAAATTTGAGGGAAGTTAATTTATGAAGTCCACAGTACACAGCTGAAACCATGGACCATCAGGCCTTAGTGTGTAAAATGCTGTACTTACCTAAAGCACTATATAAGTAATTATTGTTGATAGAAATGTGTAGTGAGACGTGCAACAGTTTTAAAAAATGGTACCTCTCTCCACCTTTACATGTATGCCCAGTCATCATTTTTTACACATGCATATAGAATGCAAAGGTTTTGTTATTTTCATAGACTCCGGTGTTTCCAATCCGTAGCAAAGAAAATTTGGAAAGAGGAGTGGGCTTACAATTGTTTCTTATCCCCAGTTAATATCCTCTCTTCCAGATCAAGAATGGAGTGCCTCATGCAGTATCATGAGATGTTGGAAAGGGTTCCCCACCACACCATTAGTTTTAAATTCTTAAAGAAAGTTATCAGTAGGGAATACCTTTGTGCCAGAGCCAGTGCTTCAAGTATCATCCAAACTAGTGCTGTTTTTTTCATATAACACAAGGCAGAAAATCCTTTCCCCCCTTTTATAGTTGATGTTGAGTTTGATTAAGGGATACACTCAAACCCTTAGTTCTTCTTTGAATGTCTCTGCATATTCTCACATGTGGAATCAAGGACCCTGAGACATGGGGTTCCAGAATCTTCTGGGGTGTAGTGTCTCTCTTGGGCTGCCCATCCCCAAAGAGTTCAGACAGTATCAAAGGGGAAGCAGCCCCAAATGCTTTTCAGTTCCTGCCATTAATTTAGGGATTCCTAACCTAAAACTCAGAAGAAGTGGGAAATCTGGATGTGGAGTTTGGATTAACCAGTTGCAAGGAACAGTTCTGTCCCTTTACCAAATAACATTATTGCTTTCACTTTCCTGAATCAGACTTCTGCATTCACCTGGCATAGTGGTTTGTAAATTGGGTTCAAATTCACATCTCCTTTAAGACTCCCTTGCACATTAATATGTTTTTTTCTTTAGCCCAGGCTTCATTAGCCTTATTTACCCATGCATAGAGACTGATGATATAAAGCTAAATTTTGTAAGGCGAATAATGCCACAAAGAAGTCCAGAAAATATTACCTTGGTCATCTTTCTCTTCTGAATAGTAAAGAGAATGGTGCAATTCCTCCAGGAGTCAGTGGACAATATAGATTAGTTGGCAGTATTTGGAGCTATTTGTCCAACAAATTCACACAGTGACACTGTCACATTAACCAGAAACAATCTAACTACTTGAGGTGGGAACAACATCAACTGTTCCCTCTTAACCCTTCTATCTTAGAAAATCAAAGAATAATCAAAAAATAAAGTTGGAAATTTAGCAGCAGATGCATAGCATGAATTCAGCTCAAAATCTGCAGATTAGGTAACCTCCAAAAAATCTGATTGGGACATGTTCCCAATGGATGCCCTTTTGTTTAGTTGGCATGGCTACTTCAGATAGACCCTCTTTCCAGATTTCTTATCCATAGAATATAATCTAGGAAGAACAGAAGCCCTATAAACAACACCTTTTAACCTCAGTACTCTCTCACATGCTGACAACTCAATATTAGATTTTAGACTTGCTTTCCTTCAAATACCGTTTGTCCCAGTTCAAGCAGACTGTCGCTAATGCCAAAGTATGGGCAGTGAGACCATGGAAAATTTAGGCTAAACATAGTAATAAACCTGCCTTTCTTATAATTTCTTTTCTATTTACAATTCATGATCTTGTGTGGAAGTTACTAAGTGGTATGAGGAGAAAAATATGAACTTTAAATAATCTAAACCTGCATTTTTCTCTTTATTTATACACTTTAAATACATAACGAGAAGATAAAGATAAGATCTTAGTAATATATAATAAATCTGTATTCTTGATTCTTTGTATGTGCCCATTTAGGCATAAACAATGCTAATTAACATATGATTATCTTTATATAAAGATTTGCCATGAGAAATATGTAATATTGAAAACAAACAGGAAATAATGTGTGTGTGGTAATATTTGACACAGTCATTTTGTACTGTAAAGAGGAAGACTGGTTGTACTATACCAGTGGTCACCAACCGGTCGATTGCGATCACTGGTCGATCCTAGAGGATCTCCCAATCGATCGCAATCTACAGCGGTGTAGTGTGGCTGCCACTAAGGCAGATTCCCTGCCTACCCCAGCCGATGCCGCTCTTGGAAGCAGCCAGCGCAGCCCCGTGGCGGGGGATAGGCAGGTAGAGCTGAGGGGACGGTGCTTGCAGAGGGGGGCAGCGTGCAGAGCCATGTGCCCCCCTGCCCCTCCCCAGGGGCCGCAGGGGCACGTTGGCCCCTTCCAGGAGCGGTGTGGGGGCAGGATAGGCAGGGAGTCTGCCTTAGTGGCAGCCACACTCAGTCTTGCTGCACTGTCTACCGGGAGTCGCCGGAGCTACGTGCTACCCGGCGGGAGACCACACCCCAGCCCTGAGCCCCCTCCCGGATCCAGCACCCGAACCCCCTCCTGCACCCCAAGCCCCACCCTGAGCCCCCTCCCAGAGCTAGGACCCCAAACCCCCCTCCTGCACCCCAACCCCCAGCCCTGAGCCCCCTCCCAGAGTCAGCACTTCATACCCCCTCCTTCACCCCAAGCCCCAGCCCTTACCCCCCTCCCAGAGCCAGCACCCTGTACCACCTCCTGCACCCCAACATTCTGCCCCAGCCCGGAGCCCCCTCCTGCACCCAAACTCCCTCCTACAGCTTGCACCCCTCACCCCCTCCAGCACCTCAACCCCTTACCCCAGGCTCAGCCCAGAGCCCCCTCCCACACTGCAAACCCCTTGGCCCCAGCCCAGAGCCAGCACCCCTTCCCAAACTTCAACCCCTATCTCAGCCCAGTGAAAGTGAGTGAGGGCGGGGGAGAGTGAGCGAGGCGAGGCTTTGGGGAAGGGGCGGGGCCTTGAGGAAGGGGTGGGATAGATCCTGGGTTGACTTTAGATTCAAAAAGTGATCTTGGGCATAAAAAGGTTGGAGACCATTGTACTATACTGATGGATGAATTATAGTTTCTGCAATAGCTACAATCAACTATATCCAAATTCATATATAAGAAATTATCAATCTGTGAAGTATCTAAAGTAGGATTTATGAAAGCTAGAGATCCAGCTCTATTCAGTGTCTTCTTATTAAAATGTAATTATATAAATACTTAAATGAAGTTCATACACTACTAGAAAATAATATTTCCTTTTAATGTTCTATTGAGCGGATAAAGTAGTTTTGTAGTATCACAATTAGATATCACAAATAGTATCACAAGTTTTGTAGTATCATAATTAGATTCACTAAGCTTTTAATACCGTATATGGTTTGCTCATTAAAGTTTAATAAGGAATAGTCTTATTTCTTTAAACTAAAAAAAGTATTTAATTGCATTTAATTAAAATAGAATAATTATTTAAATCCCACCTCTGTGAATTATTGCACAATAATCTAGAAGATGATACTTAATATTTGCTTCTGCTTCTGCATAAGTTATATATGTTACCTGTTTTAAGAATCTCAGATAAGCAACCAAGCATGCATGTCTATCTACATCTATATATGAATGTAGTGAGTACTATTTCTAATGAAGATATAGAAAACTAATTTTTACTGCAGAGTTTTAGGGCATCTTATCTGCCTACCCTGTCTATACTTTTTATTTATCGCAGTTTCATGGCTGTTGCTTTGTATTCTGACTTGCAACTTTATTTTTCAATTCTTTGAAGGATTTGAGGTGCAGTTTGTGTGAATGATTCTGTAGAAAAAGGGCCTGATTCCACAATAGGACTGCTCAGTTGAACAGGGCTTACTCATGTAACTAAGGCTTTCAAGGACAGGTCTTAAAGATGTATTATAAAGGGAGGAGGTCACTACTCATTGTTCAAAGTATCCTTTACTTTAAAGTAGGCACAAGTCACTGGATTAATGTCAAAAGTAGTTAATGGCAGGTACAAAAAGTTTATGGAATTACCAGATTTTTTCTAAAAGGTAGCAGGTTCCAGTACAGGAGAGCAGTATAAATGTCCTTGATGACCAAACTTTAATCTCCTTTCTCACTTTCTTTAATCCATAACAGGTGCTTTTCCAGCAGGAGCTTTGTATGCCCGAAAAGACTTACTTCAGAGACCTACACATGTTGCCACCAAAACTTTCCAAGCCTTGCGTATATTTGTGAATGATGAGCTCCGCGAACTCTATGTAGGGTTGAAGATAGCTGAGAAGTTTCTGAAACCTGGAGGTCGACTTGTAGCCCTTTCTTTTCATTCACTAGAGGATCGTATCATCAAACGATTCCTTCAAGGAATAGATGTTTCAGAAAAGTTCAACCTTAACATAAGACAAAAGATAAGACAAGGACAAAAAAATTATTCAGAACAAGATGTGGAAGAATTCGTCAGTGAAAAATCCAACTCAAGGTGGACATCTATACAGAAAAAAGTGCTTACTCCCCAGGCTGCAGATGTTCAAGAGAACCCAAGAGGGCGGTCTGCCAAACTAAGAGCTGCTATCAAACTGTGAAATAAAATAAAATACTCTGATTTTCTCTTTATATTAAATATGCTTTTGTAAATGTTCATCTTTCAGACTGTACAGAGATGGTCAAATTGAAAAATAAAAGGAAAGAAAATAATTGATATCTTAGGATAGAGTCTGACTTCTATCTTCAGTATTCAGTTTTAATTAAGCTATGGAATTGAAACATGGAGCATCACCTGGTAAAGCAAGTCTAAATCAATGGGCATAACTAATATTATTAATTTCTTTAGAAAAACAGTTCTCAAAACACAAGGCTCAGATGTCTATAACAATTGTATGTACAACTTAAACATATAGGGCTCTATCCACTATTAATCCACAACATAAACTCCCATTGAACTATTCCAACTTCACTCCCACATTTGATCATGTTGTGCCTTATTGTTTTAACATATACATTCTTTAATACAGCTAAAATTTGAAGTCAATTTAAAACTTCTTGTATGAGAAACATCATAGATTGAAAATTAATATTGGTTCCTTTTATATCTTGTTAAACAGTTCATTTTTTTAAATGATATAAAAGCTTAGGTTTCATCTACTTTAACTTCTTCCTCCCTTTACAAAAGAAAAAAGAAAAGAAAAGCGTTCTCTTTATTTGGACAATCAAAATGTGTGGCAGAATTTCACTTCTGATGAATCAGTAGATTGGTTGACTAGAGGATGAAACATGATTTCTGTCTCTGAATTTGAATGCTTGTAAAAGAAAACTGACTGGCTGCTTTTAAAACTCCAGACCTGATTCTGATCTCACCAATTTTATACTGGTGTAAGCCCAATGACATCAGTAGACTTATTCCAGATCTGAGCAAATGAGATCAAAATTGCATCCTCCATGTGTAATAAATTGAAATAGCAATATCCTAATTAATTCCTTTGGTAACATTACACTAATATTGGCAAATTTCTCATAAATACCCAGAGATATGACATTGGATGATGCAAATCACTGATATGAAGTAAGAGATGAATAATAATGGGCACGATAGACTTTTCTGAAAGTGTACTGTTTTTCCCAGTTTTCATTATACATAGTATTAAATATAAATACAAACATTCCACTTCAAATAATAATACTTAATGTTGACATCTGTTAGAAACAACAGACTGTATTTAAATAGATCTTTTCCTCTCCAAACATTATATATGAATAGTTTGTTATTTTTGGTTAAGGTTGTACCTTGAACTGTGTCCCCATTTGACGTTTTTAAAAGATTTTTATGGCTGAAATATTTAGGCTCAGAAGAATGTGGTGCTGTGTTGTGGTGCAGGTAGATGCACAGAGAGACATGCGATTGCAACAAAGGTAAGTGCGGTATTAATAATATCCCAGAAGAGATATGGAAGAGTCAGTGCTGCTTCTGACTATTTGCATAGGGGTATCTCCAAAAACCCAGCCCTCCCATTTCCATAAGTATGATTGCTCATACCAGTTGGGTCAATATATCATCAACATAGGGAGAACATATTTCCCACTGCAAATATTCTTTCAATCTGGCTTATTTTGTGCTCGCCTGGAGTTTGCCGAGCCCCATAAAAATCTCTGGGTAGGGTTAGTTGAAGCATGCTTGTGTATCTTGAACTGTTTCAGTTTCACTCAGTAGATAGGTGGCATACATTTGGATACCACTTTGAACACCTTGTTTTATTATGGTGCAAGTAGGGGCCCAGAGCACAGAGAGGATGTGGGGTTGCAACAGAGTTAAATGCTTATTCAGTAACAACCTTGAAGTGACATGGAAGAGTCAGCAGTATTTCTGGGGATAGTGAGGCCTAATATTCTCTCTCAGATTAAGTTCTATCCAGTACACAGAGAGGTAGTAGTGTATTTTAATTCCCTTACAGTGGTGTGATCCATTAGTAGGACTAAATGTATTTCACTTGTGGAAAATACCACCTCATTGAAAATCCAACTAGACTTCTCAGAGGATGAAAATTCATATACGTCTTTTCTGCAATTTTTACTTGAAACCTGAATAACATGCATTTCAACACAATGAAATGCAATGTCATACATCTAGGAACAAAGAATATAGGCCACACTTACAAGGAATGCAGGTATACTAAGAAGGTCTTGAGGGACATAATAGATATCCATTTGATCATGAGCTCCTAATATAATGGTATAAAGGGTAAACAGGATGCTCGTATGTATAAGCAAGACAATAACAAGTAGGAGTAGAGAGATGGTATTACCCATGTACTAAAGTACTGCGTCTCTTTCTGGTGTCCACACATGAAAAAAGATGTTGAAATATTGGAAAGTATTCAAAAAACAACTACAAGAATGATTTGAAATCAGAAAAACATGCTATATAGCAAGAGGCTTAGGAAGTTCAATCTATTTTGTTCACCTAAAAGAAGGGTAAGCGGTCACTTGATCAAAGTCTGCAAATACCTACATGGAGAAGAGACAGCTCTTTAATCTAGCAGAAAAAGGCATAGCTAGTTGAAGCTAGACAAAGGTGCACATTTTAAACTGTGATGGTATTTAAACATTGGAAGAATATACCTAGGGATGTGGTAAATTTTCCATCACTTGAAGTCTTTAAATCAAGACTGAATATCTTGCTAAAAGATATGCTGTAGTTCAAACAGAAAATATAGGTTTGATGCAGAGTTTATTGGGTAAGGTTCTTTACGTCTTTGTTGAAGGAGGGTCAGATTTAGATGATCATACTGGTCCCTTTCTGTCCTTAAAAATCTATGAATCTATGACAGCCCGATGAGAACGTATCCTATTTTATTGTTATTGAATAGATTTTATTCAAACCTTTTGGGAGAAATCCTGGTCCAGTTGAAGTAATTTATGGTTTTATTGACTTGAATGGGTAAAATTCTGGTCTCGTTGAAGTCACTGGGGGTTTTGCCATTGACTTGAATAGGGTCAGGATTTCGCCCTTTCAGTTTTGTAACTGAAAGCATTTTTATTTATTATAAAGACTAACATCATATGAACTGCCTAACTTCAAGATGGTTTGTGGTTTGCTAGAAAAATTTTTATATTTACCATTTGATATTAATTAATTTTGCTGCAGTACACGTGTTCACTAAGTCACATAATCAGTTTTACTGATTAAAAAATTAAAGGCTCGATCCTACAGTCCATATTCAAGCAAAGAAAGGAATGCATGTATTATCCATGTTTGTGTTTGTTGTCCATTACTTTGGATAAATTACAGTCAGTCATTTGCAAACCTATTTACAGAGTTACTAATAGTTTGGTGAAATTATAACCTAAAATGTCAATATTTACCCATAGTAATTGCACTGTGGTATCTGAAATACTTTACAGAGTAGCAGCCATGTTAGTCTGTATCAGCAAAAAGAGTACTTGTGGCACCTTAGAGACTAACAAATTTGTTTGAGCATAAGCTTTTGTGGGCTACAGCCCACTTCATCAGATGCATAGAATGGAACATATAGTAAGAAGATCTATATACATACAGAGAACATGAACAAGTGGAAGTAGCCATACCAACTGTAAGAGGCTAATTAATTAAGATGAGCTATTATCAAAAAACTTTTGTAGTGATAATCAAGATGGCCCATTTTAGACAGTTGACAGGAAGCTGTGAGGATACTTAACATGGGGAAATAGATTCAATATGTGTAATGACCCAGCCACTCCCAGTCACTATTCAAACCCAAGTTAATGGTATCTAGTTTGCATATTAATTCAAGCTCAGCAGTTTCTTGTTGGAGTCTGTTTTTGAAGCTTTTCAAAATTGCCACCTTTAAGTCTGTTACTGAGTGACCAGAGAGGTTGAAGTGTTCTCCTACTGGTTTTTGAATGTTATGATTCCTAATGTCAGATTTGTGTCCATTTATTCTTTTGCGTAGAAACTGTCTGGTTTGGCCAATGTACATGGCAGAGGGGCATTGCTGGCACATGATGGCATATATCACATTGGTAGATGTGCAGGTGAACGAGCCCCTGATGGCGTGGCTAATGTCGTTAGGTCCTATGATGGTGTCATTTGAATAAATATGTGTACAGAGTTGGCATCAGGCTTTGTTGCAAGGATAGGTTCCTGGGTCAGTGTTTTTGTTGTGTGGTGTGTGGTTGCTGGTGAGTAATTGCTTCAGGTTGGGGGGCTGTCTCCTCGCTTACAGGTGCCATAAGTACTCCTGCTCTTTTTGAAATACCTTAGTTTTCCTATTCATAGAGACAAAAAGGGGAAACCATGCTATTTCAGAAACTACTATTTGTAAATTTCTACTTTTTAATAGCAACTGCAGAACAAGACTTTCTATGCTCCATTCTTCCTAGAATAGTGCTGGTTTTATTTAGTATACATCATTTATATTACAATGGCACCTAAAATATTCCTGTACAGACATATTGGAAGACACATGGTCCTACTCAAACGGCTTATGCTCTAAGGAGACAAAACAAAAGAAAGAAAAATTGGGAAAGGGTTACAGCACATAAACATTGGCATGTTTTGTTAGATCCGTGTTGTTGCTGGCTTTATTATTATAATCTAAAGTAAAGAAATAGCTAAATGTCAGTGTTGACTCATTTATTGTAGGTATTAAGTAGAAGTATGTCATGGAGGGCAGGGGGCTCTGAATGAGGAGAGAGTAGTAACTTTACACAACAATTGGTTGCCATTATTCCATTCTATGCTTAGTTCCGGAAATGGTAGCAAAGGGTTCATTCTTGCATTTCTTGAGCTCCTAAACCTCCCAGGGCAGGGCCTTCAATGGAACTTTGACAATTTATACCAGCTCAGGATCTGCTTCATATTCAATTACATATGTACGTTGGGAGACCATGAGAGACTATCCTTTGATCCAGGTGCGTGCGTGTTTTTACATGTAACTTACTTACACTGTTATGCATATAGTTATAAAATAAATCGATTGGAATCTAAAAATTGTACTCACATTTCAGCGTATAGTATACAGAGCAGTATAAACAAGTCCTTGTCTGTATGAAATTTTAGTTTGTACTGACTTTGCTAGTGCTTTTTATGTAGCCTGTTGTAAAACTAGGCAAATATCTAGATGAGTGAATGTACCTCTGGGAAGACCTCTGTGTATCCCCACGGGTATGTGTACCCCTGGTTGAGAGCCACTGTGCTAGAAGAAACAGTAGA